TATGAAAAATGTATACTCTTGAAAGATCACTTCCACCGATGAAATATCTAAAATCAAAATTAGACACATCTATAAGATGAAATACCTCTTATATAATAGTCGAAAGAGATGAGAAGGGCCATTGATGAAGTTGTGACTCAGATATATGATCTGATACCGAAGAAAAACAAATGAGTGAAGTAATTATATTTTATTTACTAGTTATTTTTTACCAGGATGATTGGAAGATTTTAATAAATATATAAAACAAATTAAAAACCTCTTTTGATTTTACCGAACATACCTGTGGTGACATATATCCTACTTTAAATCTTGTCATCCCATTTTGTTTCTTTAATGGAACATTTAAATTTATTTGACCGCGATTTCATAAACACTATCAGTGCTATTGACAAAATAGAAAATTATAACATAACAAATATTGAAAACATAAATATGAACCATATTAGATCCTAGACTAAAAGTGCAGTTTTTTGAACAATTATCTGCGTCATATAACATAGATACAACAACAGTTAACCCAATAGTACAATCAAATATGGATAGAATCTTTAAACAAAATATCTCATCAATATGTGAGGTTGAAACATATCTTAATGAAAGAATCATTTCTAATGAGCTCGCTAGAATGGTGGAGATTGCATGTGGATCGTTTTCCAGTGTTGTCAAAAATGGCAATTGATATATTGTACATTCAGGGATCTTCGACTTCATGTGAGCGGTTATTCTCAATAGGAACAAATATGATAATGAAGAATAGAATGTCTTTGAAGGAAGAAACTATTAGAAAGACTTTATTCTTACTGGTTATTACCAAATTCGTATGTAACATTGTTATATTTTTTCTGTATTATATTTCGATGTTTATAAAATGAGATCATTGTACATTTTTAGAAAATTCTAATATTAGAATGAAGAAATAATTTAGATATCTTCATAAGCAATTCTATTTCTAGAAATCGGGTATTTTTGGCCAATTTGTTTGGATAACGTTATATGAAATCATTGGGTTTTATTTCGTTTATTTTTTGTAAATTTTGATATGCTAATGTCATTTTTAAACATTCACATCTGTTTATAATTTTTTTATGAGCTATTATTCGATTCGTTTTTTTGTAGGCCCATTGGCAATGGGTTAATCCTGGGAAAAGTGAAAAGTTTTATTATTTGGGTGATATGCTAAAAGCAGATGGTGGTGTAAATTCTGCTGCTGCTGCAAGTGACAGACAAACATGGAAACAGAGAGATGTCGTCTATTCTAACAAATGAAAACGTCTCTCTGAAGTAAAGGGAAAAATTTACGCAAGCTGTGATGAGTTGTTTAGTTTATGGGGCGAAACATGGGCAATGAATGCGGCCCACGAAGTCAAATTCGAAAAAACAGAGATGAGGATGATTAGATTGATGTGTGTGGGGTATTTCTGAGAGAAAGAAAAACTAGCAAGAATGGGTAGAGAAGTGATTAGAGTGGTAAGACGAAGAAATAGACTAAGATGGTCTGGGCATGTGGAACGTAAGAGAAAAGATGACTGGACAAAGAGATGCACCTTGATGGAAAATAGGAGGATTAAGACCTAGAGGAAGGCTCAATAGACGTGGATAAAGTTGATAGTGGCGGATATGAGAAAAATGAATCTTACGAAAGAAAATCAGAGGGAAAACTGGCCAACCTGGAAATCGCCATTAAACGGTGAAGATTTATTAACAAAAGGAGGCAATTTTTAATTTGCATTCCGAACGTATATTTTTTTTCAATGTGGTAAAAATAGTATTAATTCTTTAAAGTATAAAAATAATTTTATTTGAGAATTATTTTATGAATGATTACGAAAAGCAATGTTTCTCTTGCTTCTATGGACGCTTCATCACTGATACAAATACTATTCCAAATGGATTGTGATTTGGACTAAATATACTATTGGCTAGGTATAAAAAATATTTGATTTGAATGATTTGTACTTGTGGATAGACGAATACAAAAATATTAACACATTTGTATTATAAATATATAAATGGTAATGTAGTAAAACAGTCTTGCAAGGGTGGCCTGATTGCCAAATAATTTAATTTCATAAATAACATTATAATGAAAAACGGTATTGAAGAATATTAAATTATATTTTTAGTTTGAATTTGAGATATAATTCCTAATTCTATTTATAAAAATCTCGAGGCTTCAGTAGCGAGCTAAGCCATAGCCAAGGCTGACGATCTACCACCGGGTCATAGGGCTGGCTAATTTAACATACTCTAGAGTGAAATATAACTATAATATTTCATTTTAAAAATTGGAATAATTCCTTTAGATTCGATGAAGAATCTGTAGAATTTTTATTTGATATTTATCTTTTAGATTATTAAAACATCCTTCGTATTATATCTTAATCCACCTTATTGATTGATTTATGACAATCGATACTAAATTATTGAGCTAAACCGAATCATATACTGCCATTGAGTGGGAAGATAATGTCAACTGTGTGTGAGCTACTAGTTGAAGAGTTTATTATGCCACCTTATCGATTTTATACCCTAATGTGCAAAAAGAATTGGAAATTAATTATCTATTTCTATTGTGCCATTCAATGATCAAAAATTATTCCTTTGGCATACTCCTAAAACATAAGCAAAGGTTTCAAACTCGCGATCACAAAGTCTGTAACTATGGTATTTACATTGGAGTGCAACAGAAGAGCTCTTATCGCATTCACAATTCTATTCATATCGATTGTAGCGAATAATTAGCAAATAAAGTACCTCCTTGCTCGAGGTTAGGCAATTTGGTCCACTTTTAGAATTCACGATTCCTTTATGATTAATATCGTCATTGAATGTTTAAATTTTGTGTTATCGTTTTTTTCCTTAAATAACTGCTTATCAAAAAAATTAGTCAGTTTAAACTTATCTATATCAAATTGAAAATACTTATACTTCATAAGATTTTTCTAAAAAATTATTAAATTATATCATTCTATTTTTAAAAAAATGTTTTAACAATATTAATATTAAAACAATGAATCGAAAACTTAATTTAATAATAAGAAAAAGGAATAAAATAAATAAATTTTAAGGAAATATATTTTTGAGATCAAATCATTTTATTAATTTTAAAAAATTTATAAAATTTTAAAAACAAAGGAATATGCTTTGATATTTTTTAAAAAATGTAAAGGATAAAAAGGTCATCAATGAGCTCCGATGAAACCTAGATACTTGTTGGAGCTATTTGGGAAGATTGTAAAATTTTAATATGAACATTTAATCCGAGAATGTTTTTTTTACTTAAAATCTCTTAAAAAAATTGTAGCCTAGAAAGACCTAAGGACCCATTGGTAGAAGTCCTTTACCATCAGACAGGGATTGGTAAACTGGCTCAGGGTTATTTGAATAATTAGTCAAATCCAATTTATTCGAGATTATTAACTCATCTCTGCGGCGACTGACGCCCTTTAGAATATAAGCAAGCTAAGCCATATGTAGTCAGGCTTTTTCCCAAACCCTTTGCATTTATGAGGTAGACATATGTTACAGCTAGTCTCTACACCTTGTTATTCACAACTCCTAATCTGATAGCAACAAGATTGGCCCTTGGAACTTCTAGCCATTCAATGTCCGAGTTTTGTCCCAAATATGAGAATGAGAGTGTTGCACCAATTTCTTTAAGTTAGCCTGAAGGGGATTGAGAAAGTCTCTTACATATTTTTCCTCCATGATTCACAGGCAGTTTCAAATAGACTTTCTTTTCCTCACAAGCTTGCTAATAATCTTCTCTCACTGAAAACGGGATTAAAAGAAGGACAAAGATACTATGAGAGGGAGAAATCCCAAGTTGACTCGTTTGATGGGAAGTTTGACTATGGCTCAATTAAACTTGGAGAAATGTATGTTAAGAAAAACTTTTATGAAGTTTTAGAATTTAACATTTAGGGGGGAAAGAAATGGAAGCATGTAAAATTTTTGCAAACCTTAGCGATTTCATGATCAAATACATTGATTGATGGTCAGAATATTTCATATTATGGCTTCCAATTTGGTGGGCAAAAAGTTGCTTTCATGCAAGTTATTATGGGAATCGCATTATTTAATAGAGACCCTAATAAGAAGATTAACTCCAAAACTTAAAAGCTGTTACATTTGTCAGTTGGGTATCCATTTAAAAAACATAACTCTGTTTTATCTTTATTTAATACAAAGACCTATAGCTTTTCATTTTTAACTATGAAATCGATCGCTTACAGGTCCACCGTCCAACCAAAAGGTTAAGGTCTAAACTTATTAAAAACGATATCATAAATATCTAGGCAAACGAGAAGGTGGCTTAAAGAATCACCTTGTTGAATATCCTCCTTCGAATTCAAAACCTTATCCCCAAATAGTAAAAAGGAACTTGGCCCATAACAAGAATATATATAATTGGAATAGTCAGGAAATCTTTCAAAGAATTTCGAGAAGGCACGTCTATACAATGTATTTTTAAAGTCAATTTCCATAATACTGAATTTGAAGGAGGATTTACAATGTAATTTCGGAGGAAATAGTCAACTGCCTAGCACCCTCTTTGACCCTAACTCTATTGGTAATCTTTGCCTCGAATCTTTATTACCCCACTTTGACCCCAATGCCAACTTGGTAATCTTTGCCTTGAATCTTTATTAGATTCATGATTAACTTGTCTGTTAATTTATGGAAGAAAGAACAACTGCTATAAGCCTCATATTACTATCTGATTTCGATAATGCAATGACCCCTCCCTCGTAGAAGATAGGTGTTATTGGAAGGTTTCATTAATTATTCTATTAAAAAGAGTTAATTGTTTATAAAAGGTTCAAAATTAGGATTTTTAAGGGTAGGTATTGGTAAAAAAAAATTAATAGGGTCGATATGAAGTTAAATCTTTTTTGGCTGCAAAAAATTGACAAAAAATAGCTTAAAAATAAAATTAAATGTTAAAATATATTGCTAATTGGCTCAAAAATGCTATAGTATAAAAAAATCCATACCCATTTTCTCCAAAACAAAGGTTTTAGTTGTTTTAAATAAATTGGACATGCTAGGTGAAAAATCATTTGCCATCAATCGTGCTGTCGTCTTTTCGCATATCGCTGTCGTAATCGTCGTCTATTTTGCTAGTGAAACTTTTCTCGTAATCGCTTAATTCTCGACTACCTTAATAAATTTTTCCGCGATATAATGTATATTATGATTAAACCAGAGTTTTTAATTAAATATAGTTAACGAGATTAATGGTCAGACCTGTTCTAATTAATGAAAATGCCTAATTTTTCCAAATATAATTTTATAGTCAGTCTAACTATGAAATACGCTCTAAAATGCAACCTAAATACAATATCTGAATCGTTGGGTATCTACAGCGTTGACCACTAAGGGCTTACAAATCAGAGGTCTTCAAGTGCTGGGCCAGCGCGCGGTAATATTCTATTTTCTAGCAGGCTAGGTTTTTGAAAATTTTTTAATTGAAATTTAGCTTATTTAAAACAGTTGCTAACTTAAAATTTTCTTCTAATAATAATAAATTCAGTATTGTAAACAAATTGAGTGCCTATATACCAGAGTTGTTAAAAGATACTTTTTAAATGGATCTAGATACAGATACATCGTCTAAAAATTTATCTAGATACAGATACAGCTTCTAAGAAGTTATCTTGATACAGATACTATTTAAAATGTATCTAGGTACAGATACATTTTTTATTATACTCTTAGATAAGGTTTGAATAAACCTAAATTAGGATTCTATTGTGAAAATTCATGAAATGATCTAAAAGATTTATTGACTCGATATCACATTTATCAAAATACGATTTTTAGATATTAATATGATATATGATTAATATAAATAATTATTATATATCTTTAATAAAATAATATAATATATGATTAAAAATAATTATTAGATTTCAGTAATAAAATATTTTCAAAATTTTGGTTTAAAACTTCCTCGTTTATCTGTAAAGACATTTTTAACTATGCTAAAAAGTCTTTCAACAGGGGCGCTGGAAGGGATTGTGGTGTTATATTTAATGAATAACATTTTTATATCAGGATATTGTTTAAAAATATTAAAATCTCGGCATTCATTTTTGAAAAAACTATTTAAAATTTGTTGATTATCAGAATTTAAATCATTAACAATCATATCTCCTGCTGTGGGATACTCAAAAAAATCGGATATTAAATTATGGGTTTTTTTTTCACAGGTTAATTTGCACTCATTTGAAGACTTTGATAATTCCTCAACTAATATTTGTATTGTTTTTTTTATTAAAATTTTCCATTTGCAACTATGTCCAATCTAGTTTAAAAAAAGGATGAAGCATAGTTGCCAAAATATTTTCATCTTCAAAAATTGTCCCAATAAACCTAGAATTATACGTGATAAAAGCGTTTTCGCCCTCTGGTTGTGGATACAACAGAGCTACGCTAGGTTTTCCTCAAAAATCCATCAAACTGGATAGTTAATTAAGGGGAGAAAAAATGAGGAGCCCTTCACACGTTTGTGGGCAAGCCGCACGTACTTGTACGCGCAACAGTCCGAGAACTGTTTCTAAACGTCTATAGGCTAATAGACAAAAAGAAATGGGCAAAACAAAAGCCTATACCCAAGAACTGCAAAAATAACTTAATTACTTTAAGAGAGGGTGGTGGCTAAGTTTAAGTTTAACATCTTTTATGTAAGCCTTGATAACTACTATCAATAATTGAGAATGTGTTCATATCAATTGAAATTAGAATTTATTCATGAAAATAAGAAAAAGCTAATGGGTTTACCGCAAATTGTTTAAACAGGTGAATTATTAAATACTGATTAATTTATTATTAATTTACCTATCTTCAATCCCTTTAAGTAAGGCATTTAAGAGTGGTAAACAAAATTTCAGGTTCATTTGTTTAAAATTTTTCAATTAAATAATGAGCTGGGAAATAGTTGCACAGTAATAAGCTGTGAACATATATTTATCTCCCTGCAGGATATCAAGTGAACTTGCTACCGGTTTCATTATGAACTAAAAATTAACATTTCTTAAAACTGCTCAAATAATTTGTTTGTAATTAAATTATTATACAAATTTAAATGTTAGCTATACCGGCGATTAGGCCTAAAACGAATTATTTGTTATTTGATATTCGATTCGTATTTTATTTGATTCGAAATATCGAATCGAATATGAATAATGAGGAAAATTATTCGTATTATTCGAAATTATTTATATATAAATATTCGTAATTATTCGCAAATATTTTATTGCAAGTAAAATAAAAAGAAGTAATTAAATTTTCCTAGTGGATATCATTTGGTTTTATTTTATTTCCTATTATCAAATCATAACAAGTTATATTTGCTGAAAAAGTTTAATGGAAGAAAGGGAAAAGCTTCAAAGTAAAATATAATTATTTTATTTTGATTGTTTCTCTTTAATCATTTTTGATGTTATGAACAAGTCAAAACATTTTTATAAAGTGTGCCTCTTTCCCATATTCTCGAGCTCCTGGCAAATAAATAACTAAATTTTTTTGACTAGTTCTTATTATTTGATAGGAAAATCCTTTTCCCATTTAGTAACCTTATTTTTGGCAAATTTTAAAGATAATCTAATTCAGATAGTGCATTATAATATCTTCATCCTCTATTACATTGTCATAATCACCTCTAAAAATTATATTAATAATTAAATAAAGGAAATTTATGCTACTAAAGTATTTTAATAAATAAAATCTATAATGAAATACTTTCTAAAATTTTGTTATATTTTATATGCAAAAATGACAATTAGTTTAGAGAATCCTTAAAAGTGTCATCTTTAAACATTTGTAAAATTTTTTTTGCAAAATATTTTATAAGCTTTAGAAATTTTTTTGAATCGAATCGAATATTCGACGAATCGAAACGAATATTGATTTTATTATTCGTACGAATACGAATAGCGCAATTATTCGATTCGTTTTTTTGTAGGCCTACCGGCGATAGGGACTTCAACAATCTGCTGTTGTGCATATTAACGAGGGTTCTATTAGACTTTATATTGATTTCTTTCTTTTTATTCTCCCATCTTTGGGAGATTCTAGCAACCACTGTCTGCCGGCAATTATATTTTTTGTGGAGCTAATGTTTTGATCATTTTTATGAATTTCAACAATTGAAAATGGCCGAATGCTATCTAAAATAAAATCAGTTATTAAATCATCTAAAGTGGTTTGGAAGTCTGAGGTCTCTTGGAAAAAAATCAATGGACGATGAGTCTAGTCCAATATTTTCTTATAGTTTTTTTCTCCTTCCCCTTTTTTATTTGGATTAAGAGTGTTTGATGTTTTCTCTTAAAATTTAAAATTGTAAACATTTATTTAGTATCTATATCCTTAAATATTTTACAATGTTACAAGTTGAGATAATGCTAACTGAAATTTGTATATTTTTTGGTAGACATGGCAAACATTTTACTAACATGTTTTCTTTATTTTGAGATATTATTTTAAAATATGGTCTATAAATTGTCCATAGAAGAATGTCGTCATTTTCGTCATCAATATTAATCTTAAAAATTAATATAATAGAATAAAATTAAATACCAATTCCATTGCTATTAAAAATGGAAAATTCCTTGAGATGAATTGTAATATCAGAATTTGCTTGTTATTGATAACTAGGACATAATATTTAATTAATATTTATATATTCTTTTTATATATAAGTTTGAATATTTTACATATATATAATTTTTTAATATATATATTAATATTAAGTTATATGCTCATATGAAATAAAATAAATTTTACATTCAAGTATTTTTAATTATAGTATGAAAAAGAGATAAATAGAAGTATATCAAAATGTATCTTAAAAAGTATCTAAAAACAGATACCTCTAAAATAATAACTATATACAGATACTTTAATCAAAAATCTATCTAGATACAGATTCCACATTTTTATATCTAGATACTTTAACAACTCTGCTATATACATTAAAATATTGTTTATTTTCATTATACAATAAATTTTTGGATAGGGTTTTGAGAAAATTTTATGAAATTTATTATTGGCTTTGGAATTTTTTTTAATAATAAATATGGGCCGGGTCTGTACCTAAAGATTTATTTACTGCGGGACAGGACCGTGCTGATCAAAAAATTAAGGCCAATTATGGTCTCTGATAAAAATAAGAAATTTGTAAGGAAAAAATCAAAATACGATATAAAATTTCAAAATTTCATGATATTATTACACCTATTAGATACAAACAATGATACTTTTTCCATATTATAATTTTTTTAAACATTCATTATAGATTACACCTAAGAAATAAAATTTGTATTATTGGCATTCGATTCGTATTTTCGAAACGAATAATTGTGTTATTCGTATTAGTATAAAAAATAAAAACAATATTCGATTTGATTGGTCGAATATTTGATTCGAAAATTTATTTCCATAAAAATATTTCCAAAAATTAATACAATTAAAAATAAGTGCTATATAGATGTGGAAAAAAAATAAAATATAAAGTCTTGCAAGGAACATGTCAAATATTTATGAATAATTTCAAATATTTACAATTTCGAATAATACTAATAATCTTAAATTATACAAATAATTTTAAAATAAATGAATAATTTTATTTTATACGAATTAATTTCAAATAATAGATAAAAAAATTATTCGACAAATAATATTCATATTCGATTAGAAAATTCGAATCGAATAAAATTGAATAATTCATTCTAGGTATACAATGAATAACACGTTTGACAAGATGTGTGGCGACGACAAACTTTATACAATTGTCTTATCTATTAGTAATTAAAGCATTTCCAAATGTTTCAATTAGTAAGAAAAGCCAACTATGCGATACTGTAAATGTAACGACTTTCTAAAGGGATTTTTATAAACGTCTTAGTCAGGGCTGTAAACCCGAACTCTCAAATTTTACTGAACCAGAACCCCGAACCTTTTTTTAAATGTAGCAAGGTTCAAGAATTTTTTTAAAATTTTTATTTATTTTATTTTTCTATTAAAAATTTATTTTATTTAATATATTTTTTAAAATTATAAAAAATTTGAACAGTATTATAAAATAAATATTAAAAAATAACATGTAATATCGAATGTTGTTAAACTCGTTTTGATTCAATTTTTAAAAACGGCTGGAATATTTTGCTAATAGATGTCTAGACATTTGTGCCATCTATGAGCAAAATCTACAGGCTTACACGTAATATTTTTCAGGATAAAATATTGTCGCCGTTTTTAAAAATCGGTTCAAATCGAGCAGTTTACCAACACTAAAAATATTTATATAATAAAAAAATATATTAAATATTTAAAACATAATTGTTAACTCGTTGGCATACCCCTAGACGAGTTGCTATTTTTATTATTTTCAATATTAAAAACATTTTTCGTGGAATCGTTTTTTTATATTAGATTATTCATTTTATGTAAACTTACGATTCTAAAATTTTTATGGACATAGAGCCCTGAACCTGGTTTAGAGATTTTTCACTGGACCCAAACCGGAACTTGAATCATTTTTTAGGAGGGTTCACTGCCCTGGTCTTAGTTATCTCCTAAAAAAATTTGAGCAATGACTTCTTATCATCTAAATTAACTCTATTCGATATTTCAAGAATTTATGACAGTGACATTAATAAAATGACTAAAAATGAGTCGCCACCATTTTTTTAACTTATATATTTATTAAAATATACAACCCTGAAAATTATGGATTATGAATTTTGCAATATGTAAAAAAAAATTCTATACAAAATAAAATCTGAAAATAGTTTTTAAAAAAAAATCGAATTATTGGCTTTTCATATTACGAATAAATTTATGAATAGAATACAAATATTTTAGATAATTTTCAGATTATTGTCTATTAAATAGGTGCCAATATTTACCGTTTTTTAGATCGGGCTGATAAGATCCGGTTTGGATTTTGGTTCAGTTAAATATCTCTGAACCAGGTTCAGGCTCAGGGTTTGTGGTCCAGAAATAATAAAAGTAACAGAAACATCAGTTTTTTATCAACTTTATTTTTACTATATTTAGCCCATACCATAAAAATAATTTATTCCTATATGCGAATTATAATTATATCATCTAAAATCGAAATGTTAAAATTAAAATTTGAATTTTTCATACCTAACATTGGCAGTTCACTGTACCTGCATTTAATAAAACTATTTTACTTTGTGATTATGATTTTACTTTGGTCTTACATCTAATTTAATCATCCAAGAAACAATAATAAATATTTAAAAAATATAAATAATAGATTACCTGTTATAAAAAAAGTTAAAATATGCTGGAAAATTTTTACATAAAATGGAGTACTCTAAAAAATAAAAAGGATTTCACCCAAAATAATTTTCACCAAAAAATGTTTTTATAATGAAATAAAAAAATTGTGATAATTTATATGTTTTTTTATAATTGAATTTTAATAGTTTTATATATGTCAGAGACCTGCAGGCCCAGCCCTAAGCCCTGGTACCCAGGCCGAACCGTATTTTAATTTTTAAAATATGACTGGGCCGGGCTTTTTTTAAATACCCGGCCGGGCCTGAAAATTTTTTTTAAAAATACCCGGGCCGGGCCGTAAAATTTAAAAAAATTTTTTATACAACATGAATTATTATATTCGTCAATTAGATATGGTTATAATGATTATATATAGTTATGATTAATATAATGTTGGGTTGCCATGGAATAAACAAGCAAAGGATTAAATACATTATTATATAATATATAATATATTTTATATTTTTTATTAATTAAAATAACATTTTTATTTTTTTTATAAATACATAGTATATTCTCAAAATATTATTTACACAAATTTTTTATAGTATCAATTTGTAATATACTAAATATGTGTTTAGAATAAAAAAAACTATGTAGTGTTGTTAAACGGCTCGTTTAGTATTTTATCCAGAAAAATATTATGCAAGCCTGAAAATTTTGTTCATAGAAGGAGCAAAGGTTTAGACATATAGTATCGAAATTTCGAGGCTTTCTTAATATATTCTTTATAATAAATAAAAATTTAATATTTAAAAAGAGTTATTGAACCCTGAACTATGAATTAAAAAAAGTTCGGGCTCTGCAAAATATTGATGGTTCGAAGGATTCTGGGGTTTAGGTTCACAGTCTTGTTTTGAAGTAAAAAAATTTAAATATAATATATGATTTTTCTTAGACTGATTAATTTAAATATAATATAATATGGCAATAAAATTAATAATTATTTATAAGTAATTGTATAAAATTTTATCAAGTTTTATTCATTATTTTAAAAAGGCCAACAAAAGTTTAAAAAAATTTCTTAGACTCTTTTAAATTTATAAGTTCCTTTTAATTTTGACTAATTTAAAGATAAATGAACGTAAAATAAATTTAAATTATATTTTGCTGAACGAGAATTTGTATTATTTTTCATTCAATGAAATTTTATAAGACGGGTAAAAACTGTTGTTATACGGAAGTTTTTTTTGTTCGCAAAAATTATTTTTAAAAAGAGAAAATATATATTATAATTTTAAAATTGCAAATTTATATTCATAAAATATCAGAGTTGTTAGTTAAAGGATCTAGATACGAGATCTAGATCCTGTATCTAGATATAAAAATATCGCACATGTATCTGTATCTAGATAGATTTTTGATTAAAATATCTGTATCTATGATATTATTTTAGACGATGTATCTGTATCTAGATCCATTTAAAAAGTATCTTTTAACAACTCTGTAAAATATACATAATTTATTTCCGTGATTCACGGGAAATTTATGTTCACGTCTGGTTAAATTTTGGGGAAGCCCGTCACCCTAATAAATTAAAAATTATTCACACACACGATTGTCGTGTCATGGTTAATTTCCCGGTCCGTGCCTATCTCTAGTTCAAAGAAAATAAAGATCAATCTAATTGATTATCGGATCGATTTTACATGAATATATCAGAAAATATCGGTTATTTAATTTATCAATCGGTGCATACTTATAATTTATAAAATGTGTTTTGGTTCGTATAAATTTTAAAATTGGGTTTCGGAATTATTCGACTAGATATCGTATTATTTGATTTAATTTTCAGGAAGCCAAATAATAATTTGGAAAATGTAAAGGATCATTCAGCATTCATGTTTGACTATCTCTTTAAAACAAATTATAAAATAGAGCCAATATATATAAGTAAATTTTCTAAAGCTGAGTAGAGCTTGATGGAATATTTTTTTAAATCCAGACCAAGTCTATGAATTAACTGCTGCAGGTCTTAAAAAATGGGATTCATATATGTGCCATATGGTTATATATAGTAGTTGCTATAATTATTGAGAAACTATTTTTATAGTAAATCTTGGACAAGTGATGTTCCTAATTAAATATTAATTTTTGGAAGTAGAAAAAATGCCCCTGATAGAAGGCATGAATCCAATACCGCTAATTCAAGAATAATTTTCATTACATTGGTCATGATATTACCTGATGCCTCTATATTTCCGTCAGTTTCCGTTAACGACATCTTATTCATTTTTGATGTAGTACTTGAATTGAGGTCGCGGTTGGAGGCCGAGGAGATGGAGAGCAATCGCTTGGTCTGAACTGGTTGTGGGTTTCGTTCGGAGACCCTATCCGAAGGAGTTTTGGTGGGGTCATCACCGCGGCGCGAGAAAAGCCCCCAAAACAGTCTGTCATCTTTGCGGTCTCGCGAGGTGGCAGTGATTGTAGAATTGGATGTAGCCGCATTCAAATCTTTGTTCGTGATAGCTATTGTAGAGGAAGGGAGGATGGGCCAATCGGCGGAGATCTGGCGGAAAATATCGGAGCCAACCGTGTCCGTGTAGTCAGGTCGATCATAGTGGTAGTAAAGATCCTCATTGCGACCAAAACTTTGTGGGTTCAGAGAGGAGGCGGATGATTGTAGAGGTAGTTCCCCGTTAGGTTGGAACGATGAGTCGGGCTGGAGGAATGCATTCATATCCACGGATTTTTTGGCTTTATTGACGGGAGACGGATGAATGGTCGGCTTGTTGAAACGGGTTTTGCTTTTTTAAGGTATATATTTGTATTGTATATAATGAATATGAGTAAAACTTCCATATAAAATGATCTATGAATGATAAATGTTTTTGGTCACCTTAAAGTGGAGATACATTATAGGGAATTTTTGAGAATTAAATTATTTTTCTAATCAGATTCCCAAAAATGATAAAATAGGTATATCCTATTCGCATAGCCTTTAAAACTTAAAATGTTATTTTTTCAATATTGAGTTAATTAACGAAATCTAGAGGTGCACGTAATATTTTTTGGCTAAAATATTGTGTTAGCTGCTTTTAAAATCGAGCCGTTTAACCACACCAGTGAATCCAGTATTTTTAAGTCGTTTTAAAGCTCGTCGCATTGGATGAATATTTCCTGGAGAATTCAGGAATCAAACTGATGCATTCCAATTTTTCTTCTTATAGCATAGTATAAGCATAAGATATTCTATTGATAACATTATTAATTTTCAAAAATATCGTTTGATTTTTTTGGGTGTTAATAAAAAGCGTGCATAATAATATTGCGTGAAAATTTAAATACTTTTGTTAAGAATTTTTGAAAAAGGTGAGAGCGCTATAGTCAAGAATATTGAGTATTTTTTTAATCAAATTTTAACATTTTTGATCTTCCTTTTCTAAAAACCGACTATAATATTATGTTAACTACACACTTTTGATAGGAATATCTCCGGTAAAGCTAATGCTCAATCTATACACGAAGTAGGATTTACCAAAGCCGCAAAAAGATAAAGGACAAAATCATTTCTTGGTAGTCCCGAAGAAAAGGAAAATAGAAGTAAGGGAGCCCGTTTGTATAAAAATCATAATAAAAATATATTTTGAGAAAAAGGCATTATTAAAAAAAGGGAAATGATTTATTGTTTCAAGTAAGGTCAGTGAAAGGTTCCATAAGAATAAACTTGGACCAGATTAGAAAAAAAGACACCAGATTCAATAATGAAGAGAACCAGGTGTAATGGAAATAATAAAAAAGAGGTAGGCAATGAATGACGAACTAAATAACACTATACACCTAAACTAGATAAGAAAAATAAAACATGAAAGCATATATCTAAACTACATATAACAATATAACATGAAAGACAAATATCAATAATAACAAAAACCATTGCGCACACCCAAAATATCAAGCATACAATCATTTTTTTATTCGCTCCACACCCCCTGAAGGAGAGAGATGTTAGATACATTGTCAGGTTCTTTTTATTAAATATTTATGACTAAAGGTCAACATGGATATCATATAAAAATGCGATTTTACTCGTGGACAGTATAGCTAAACAATATCATGTCAACGTAAATAGACATCCGTGTATACAACATCGAAAAATTCGTTTTTGAAGACCAGCTTTACTATATAGAAGTAGTGGTTTTAGATAGGAATCGAACTGATCTTATTTTGAGGACCATAGTTTGGATGGGTCTTTTTATTTTTCACGGTTTGAAAATCGGTCATTTATTAATATTTAAGTTTGTTTTACTTCAATTAATAAAAAATTTTTTTGTATATTTTATTGTTATTCTTTTAGAATAATTATTTTAGTTTTTGTGAATTTTTAGCTCATTTTTATTTTTCAATTAATATAAAAAATTTTTACCTAATTTTTTTGTATATTTTATTGTTATTCTTAGAGTAGTTATTTTAGTTTATGTGAATTTTTAGTTCATTTATATTCTGCAATATCAAAACCATAAGTTTGTCACAGAAGTATTTAACCATTAGTCCCAATAAACAAGTATTAAATTAAGTAAAAAGGACAATATTTTTAAAATAACAAAAAAAATTTATCATGGATATTAAAGATGAGGTATCGCGGTCAAGAAACCCACTACAAAAATAATAACATGGATAATTTTAACAACTTCATCATGTATAGCTTCTGGTACCACTTTTAACAATTGTAGAGAATGCATAAACACATAGATAAGTTTGTACTATCTCTGAAAGATTTGGCCTCCTATACTTAAATACCTGCTTTAAATGAACAATTCTAAACATTTATGCCCCATTATTATAGATAATCTAGAAAATTTAGTTAACTCTTTACCTTGCAGCCGTAATATAATCATTTTAGGTGATTTGAATCACCCCGACCTTCAAAAGGAACAACACAAAATTCCAAATAAACTTCTTTATTTCTAATATCAATGGATGGTTGGTTTAATACCTCAAACCAGCCCATAATCTTCCGAAGAAACCTCAAATACCTATTGTCCTAATTGGCGTTTTTTTATTATTGTATTGGGATATATTTTTTTTTGTAAAATCATTATATGTATTTTTATTACGCTCAATAATCCGGTTTGTTAACCTTAGCGCATTGGTTTTTTGGGGATTGTAAGACTCACAATGAGTCATGTTATTCGGATTTGTAAGAATTATTCTTTTATTTATTTTATTTTCATCAATTTTTTTGTGGAAAATTCAATAAAATTATTATACTCAGAGTTTTGCTTTCTATTCTGACCGGACTTTTTACGGCACAACGTAATAGTTGGTGCCGTGACCAAACAGATAAAAAGTAAGTTTTTTTAAATATTTATATATAAATTTTTTTTAGGTAAAAAAAAATATAAATAAAAAGGAAAAACTTAACATTTGCTAAGGGCACAGTGGGTTAACTGTGATATTGAATTTATATTTTAAAGTCACAGGGGTTCTGTGGAATATTTTTTTTTTTGAGGAAAATTCGGTAGAGTACCGTGGTTGTTGTTAAAGTCACAGGGGTTCTGTGGAATATTATTCTTTTTTGAGGAAAATTCGGTAGAATACCGTGGTTGTTGTTAAAGTCACAGGGGTTCTGTGGAATATTTTTTTTGAGGAAAATTCGGTAGAGTACCGTTGTTGTTTTGTTGTTAAAGTCACAGGGGTTCTGTGGAATATTTTTTTTTTGAGAAAAATTCGGTAGAGTACATACAGGAATTATTAACAGGTATAGGAAAAATTGTAATTTGGGTTACAGTTGAGTTTAAAAGGGTTTAAAGAGTCTGATGTACTGTTGTGTTATTTCGGTATTAATTGTATCATATTGTTTAACTCTTCAGGTAGTTAAGATTTTTTTAGTTAAGTTAATTATTAACTTTTTGTAGGTAATATTTTGAGATATATTTTATTTTGTTAGGATATTAAATATAAATTAATTAATTTAGAAATATTTTTGAGTTAATAGATATATTTTTTTTTCAATAATTTGATTAATAATTTTTTTTTATTAAGTGAAATGAAGGGTTTTAAATTAACTAAATATGTAGAAGTACAGTATAATATATTAGGAGCGATAGTGGTATTGCTGATTTGGTTGGGTAGTTTATATTTCGGCAGGAGAGAACGCCGGAAAAGAAGTATTAAGATACGGGGGCAGACGTTATTGATTGAAGGACATAACGGGGAAGAAGATAGGTATGGAAAAGTTACGTGGTTGCCCGTGCAAGAAATGTTGCAGGGATGGGCGAGTAATGAGGATTTAAAATGGAGCGATAATGAAAAAGGAATTGGAGATGGAAGAATAGGAATATATAGAGGTCGGGAAGAATTGGCAAGGTCGTTTAGGATGGAAGGTCAGAGGAATAGGACTATTGTGTGTTTTAAATGTGGTATAAAAGGGCACAGCGCTGTAGACTGTAGGGATATTAAATGTTTTGAGTGTGGCCATAGTGGTCATACTTCGACGTTTTGTCCTGGTAAGCATAACAGTAAAGGGTGGCGGTTGAGAAAAATGGATCATGGTGCGTTGGGAGGCCGGCTGAGAAAAATGGCTCAATGTGTGTTGGGGGGGGGGCGTTTGAGGAAAATGGCTCAATGTATGTTTGGGGGACCCGGTTAAGGAAAATTGCCAAAATATGATAATTGTTATTTTTTTTTTTTCATTATTAATTTTTATATGAATATATACCTGAAAGTCAAATTTTTAATCACATAAATAAGAAAATGTTTTAGATTGTATCTTATTCTGATTGTCTTAGCCTGATTAGTCAATTCTTAATTTCGCAAAGTAATTTGATCTTATAGTCGAAATTATGTTTTTATTTCGTAAAATGTTATATCGTTTATATTTCAGTGAAGGCTTTATTTTTGTAGAAATGTTATGCAAATCTAAGTCCCGAGTAAAAAGAAAAATTGTTTATTCAAAAGCATGTACCGAAATATATTTGTTTGTAAATTTATAAGGGAAAGGTGAGTAAAATGTTAGGGTTATTAGGTCATTTTTTATAGTTTTTGTCAATTTGTGTAAATTTTTGTAAAAAGGAAAAAATAATAATAAGAGATATAAAATAATCTAATGTTTAATGGGTATATAGGTAATGAAATATAAAATGATAGTTGGTTTACCTTTTTTTGGTTGTTGTAAATAAGGAAAAGAGTATAAAAATGGGATATGATTGTATTTTATATTTTTTTTAAAGAAAAGGAAAATATAAATTGGATCAGATTTTAAAAAGGGGAAAATATATATTTTTATAAAAGATGTTTTCGTTAAAGAAAATTTTTTTTTTGTAATTGATAAAAAAAATATGATTTATAATGGAGGAGTGTTGAGATTGGAAAGGAAATAGTTGTTTTATAATGAAGTTTTGATAAACGGAAAAAGTTGTATATGAAAAATATTATGGATGAAAAGTGTTTAATGAAAATCAAGTTTTATGAGAAAAAAATGTTTTTATTTAAATTAAGTTTTATGTGGGTGCCCTTGATTATTTGTTTTTTTAGGTTAGGTTCATATTTTTTTTGATTTACCCCGTTGACTTTTAGAAGACGAAAGAAGAAAAAGGGTTATAAAAATATTGCGGAACAAAAGAAGAACAAATGTTCCGCTGAAAACAACTACTATGGAAATATATGGCCGGGAATCATGCAGCATTCAACAGTAGGGGCAGCAATTCGGTCGTTTGTAAAAGGGGGAGATGTCCTAATTGGCGTTTTTTTAATTATTACATTGGGATATATTTTTTTTTTTGTAAATACATTATATGTATTTTTA